GGAACTTATGGGATGCAATGAAAGCAGTTCTAAGAGGGAAGTTCATAGCTGTGAACTCACACATTAGGAACATAGAACGGGAACAAATAAACACCCTAATGCTGTACCTCAAACATCTAGAAAAGGAAGAGCAAGCCAAACCCAGAGCCTAAAGACAGGAAGAAATCATAAAGATTAGAGCAGAAATTAATTCAATTGAGACGAAGAAAACAGTTCAAAGAATTAATAAATCAAAAAGCTGGTTCTTTGAAAGATTAAATAAAATTGGTAAGTCCCTAGGTAACCTCTTTAAAAAAAGGAAAGAATTTCAGAAATTCGAGCTTTGAAAACAGTGGCTTATCTTTAGTAAAATCATTTTTTGAAATTTAATTGTAAGTTATAATATCCCTACAAAACTTTTGCCCTTAAGAAAAATATTCTAAATTATTGAATGACTTATCAAAAATTACTATAACATGAGGGCCAGCAAGATAGCTGAGCAGGCCCAGTTACTGGATTCAGCCAGTGTGAACTGTAGCTTCTTGGCTGAGGTGCTTCTGGCCTCTGAGAGCAACAGATCCGAGTCCTCCTCCAGCGATGGCCTTCACAAATCCACACAAAGTGCTCATCAGCGACAGCCTGGACTCCTGCTGCCGAAAGATCCTGAAAGAGGGAGGGCTGCAGGTGGTGGAAAAGCAGAATCTGAGCAAAGAGGAGCTGATAGCCGAGCTGCAGCACTGTGAGGGCCTTGTCTGCTCAGCCTCCAAGGTCACCGCTGATGTCATCGCTGCAGCAGAAAGGTCCTGGTGGTGGGCAGGCATGGGTAAGGTAGATCGTGAGACAGCAACAAGGAAAGGCATCCTGGTCACGAACACCCGCAATGGGAACAGCCTTAGTGCTGCGGAGCTCATCTGTGGATGAGGATGTGCCTGGCCAGGCAGATTCCCCAAGCCACAGCTTCGGTGGAGGCTGGCAGGTGAGAGCGAAGAAGTTCATGGGAACAGAACTGGATGGAAAGACCCTGGGGATCCTCGGCCTGGGCAGGACTGGAAGAGAGGTGGCCATCCGCATGCAGTCCTTTGGGATGAAGACTACAGGATATGACGCCATCAGTTCTCCAGAAGTCTGGGCTTCCCTTGGAGTCCAGCAGCTGCCCCTGGAGGAGCTCTGGCCTTTGTGTGACTTCATCACCGTGCACACGCCCCTTCTGCCCTCCACGACAGGTTTGTTGAACGACAGCACCTTTGCCCAGTGCAAGAAGGGCGAGTGTCTGGTGAACTGTGCCGGCGGAGGGATGGTGGAAGAGGGTGCCCTTCTACTCGCCCTGCAGTAGGGTCAGTGTGCTGGAGCCGCCCTGGAGGTGTTCACGGAAGAGCCATCCCGAGATCAAGCCTTGGTGAACCATGAGAATGTCATCAGTTGTCCCCACCTGGGTGCCAGCACCAAGGGAGCCCAGAGTCGCCGTGGGGAGGACATAGCCATCCAGTTCGCCGACACGGTGAAGAGGAAACCCTTAGCACGGGTTGTGAACGCTCGGGCCCTTACCAGGGCCTTCTCTCTGCCACCAAGCCTTGGATTGGTCTGGCAGAAGCTCTGGGGATGCTGATGCAGGCCTGGGCTGGCTCCCCCAAGGGGACCATGAGGGTGGTGACACAGGTTCCATCTTTGAAGAATTTTGGGAACTGCCTAAGTCCTGCAGTCATTGTTAGGCTCCTGAAGGAAGCTTCCTAGCAGAAGGATGTGAACTTGGTGAATGCCAAGCTGCTGGTGAAAGAGGCTGGCCTCAGTGTGACCACCTCCCACAGCCCTGCTGCTCGGGAGGAGCAAGACCCGGAAGAGTGCCTCCCCACCGTGGCCTTGGCAGGTGCCCCCTCTAGGCCGTGGGCTCAGCCCAGGGCAGCACGCCTGTGCTGCAGGCGCTCAGTGGAGCAGTCTTTGGGCCAGAATGCTTTTACGCTATGAGCAGCCCCAGCTCATGTTCCGAACTCGGCAGTCCAGCCCTGCAGTGCTGCCTACAGCGAGGTGTCTTGGCAGAGGCAGAGGTGCACTGCTGTCCTACCAGACCTCAGCGGTGTCAGATGGGAGGAGCTGGTATAGCCTGGGCAGCTCCTCCCTGCTCCCCAACCTGGAAGTGTGGAAGAAGCAGGTGTCTGAGGCCTTCCGGTTTTGCTTCTAACCTTGGAGTTCGCTGGTTTCCACCTTGCGGGCTTCTCTGAAGAAACTTAACCACCATGATCAACTAGGAGAGGCGATCCACGTTCCTGGGTCTATGGTACTGCTCTGCTGCAGTACTTGGCCCTGCAACAAGGCAGCAACCACAAAATAAACAGCCCCCCCCCCAAAAAAAAGCTCAGCGGACTAAGCGCCCGCGTAGGCAAGCGCAGGGGCGGGGATTCGACCCCTGGCCCTGCATACCACGCTGGCTCCGCCCTGGATGCGATCTAGTCAGGATGTGGCGGCATGCTGCTGTTATCCCAGAGCTGGGCAGGCCAAAAACAGGAGAATCACTACGAGCTGGAGCTGCGTAGTGAGACCCTGTACAAAAAAACAAAAAACAAAACCAAAAAAAGCTAAAAATAAAAAACTATTACACGAAAAGATTAAATGTAAAATAATTAGAATTTATAAGGTAAAAATAAGAAACCTAAATAGTGATTCTTAAAATTTGTTTATAGCCATACAAATAACATTGCTTTAGGGCCGGCCAGATAGCTCAGCAGATTAAAGTTCCTGCTTAGGCAGATGCAGCGGCCGGGGGTTTGGTCCCCAGGCCCGCCGTGCCAGCCCACTCCCAGGGCACACTGAGACAGCCAATGAGACTGGGTGTGGTGGCATGCGCCTGTAATCCCAGCATTTGGGAGGCTGAAAACAGGAAGAATCACCCCAAGTCCGATCTGTGTACTGAGACCCGTTAGTAGGTACATTATAAATAAATAACATTTTTTAAAAAAAATAAATAGCATTGCTCTGGTTGAAATATATTTTTTAATTTTTTAGTGGTTGAAATGCTAAGTGAAAAATTTATGAAAGTTTGTGTTATTTCAAAAATTTTAAAGGACTATATTTTTATAAGCGGTCATTGTAATTATGAATAAAATGAGCATGCTTAAAATTCTTCAATATAAGTAAGCTACTAATCAACACCTAGGGTGAACTAGCAAAAAAATCAGTAGCATATAAAATTAACTATGGAAGCACAGAAAAAAATCTATTTCTAGTACAGGAATACATAAGATCAAAAGTTACGTTCCAAAAGGCACCAATAGCTGTATATTTCCGTTCAATTATTCCCAGTTCTGATAGGCCTTTCACACACCTATGTGAGTTGTTTTCTAGGTTTCTTTTATAAACCAAAACATGCCAGTCACAGGTGTCTCGGAAATGGGAATCCACACAGATAATCCCATAGAGCTAAATTTATAATGGTGAAGGACTGAGATTGTTACCAACTGCTCTCACAGTGAGGCTCACTGTGCCTGTGCACGTAACTGTGAACCGCTTTTCAATGAAGCCGTGACTCAGTGGTGTACTGTGTGTCTGCAGAGCTTTGCAGCCCGTCTTGCCAGCACGGAGGCGTGTGCATGCCTGGCAACCTCTGCACTTGTGCTTATGGCTTCGTCGGACCAAGATGTGAGACAAGTAGGCACACTTTCTTCTCCCCTGATGAGCTGAGGGCACTAACGCTAGATGAGGTGAACCGAAGCCCTAATTTACGGGGGTGGCGATTTCCAAGCTAGAGGGCACTGGGAGCTACCGTGGGCCACCAGTACCAAGACAAAGAGCTTTGTTCTCAGGATAATCCTCTTCTGGGCTTTGCGATAACAGGGACTCATATTTGCTCATTTGCAAATAAAAATGGCAAATGTAATTTAAGATTACTTTCCGCAGGAATGTAACTTTCCCGAATGATCAATTCTTGTTTACCGTTCTGCTCAGTGATTTTCTTTTTGTCTATGAACAAGAATGTAATTGACATAAAAATTGCAGGCCATTTGAAGCCAAGGTATATAATGTTTTATTCTTCTTTCTGATCTTACTCATTAGCAGATGTGACTTTACAAGTTAAAACTAGTAAGGCAAGAACCAACAATATGATCACTTCATACCTGACTTATCTTAACTTTATTTTTATTCTGTGATCTTAGTGGTTTGTAACAGACACTGTGAAAATGGAGGTGAATGTGTTGCACCAGATGTTTGCCAGTGCAAACCTGGCTGGTATGGACCCACCTGTAGTACAGGTAAAATAAGAAATGTTTTCAATAAAATTGTCAAACTGAAATATTTTATATGTGCCGATGTTCAAAAGACTTACTCTTAGGAAAGAAAATTGTTTTGACATACCAAGTATGAAGTTGTAATTTCAAACCTTACATTGTCATTGTTTTATCTTCTTAGATTGGGCCAAACATAATCTTATGGAAACTTTATTGCACGTTTTTACCACAACACATTCTAAGAAATTATTTCTCAGTAATTCTGAGGTAACCACACACCCATAATGTCATTCTATTTATTTATCACATTGTCAGGCTTCTTTAGCAAGAATATTTGCAATTATTCATGTTTAATCTAAGTGATTACTAACTAATGACTTTTCTCAGTGAAAATTTAATTGAACATTTATAGCTTGTCGATTATATACAAAGAATAATGCAAAGGAAAAAAAGATCAATTTGGTCTTTGCCCTTGTTTCAATTAATGAAGGAGAAATGAGATATAATTTACAAAGACAGACTATAAGGTTGGCTTAGGATAAATTATACAATTGAAGTACGATTTTTTGGAGGAAAATAGTATTCATGTGGATGTTGGAGAATCAGTAAAACAAAAGTTTAAAATAGAATTAGAAGCACCTTTTAATAGACAACAAAGGTCCTGAAGCCAAAGGAAAGAATGCTTTCGAGTACACAAGAGTTGGGGTGCAGTGTCCCTACCACACTTGGGGAGGAGATAAAGAGGCGTGAGTGAACACATGTATTTGAGCTGCTTACAAACCATTCTCATAGTGTTATTGAATTAAATAGTCTTCTCTTACAGTCTTTTTTAATCTTACCCATGGATTTCTGATTTCTAGTCATACACTGCACATTCTGCATAAATAATGCACACTAACCAATTATGCCACTGGAGCTCCACACTCCACATTCTTAGTAATATTATTTATAAACTTAATGAACATACTTTCAAAGCAGTTACTCAGCTTCTTTATTTTTCTTATTTGGCAGCATCAGATTAATTATAGGTTATGGTTTTTACTTGCAGTAAAAATAAAATATTTCATTGTGCATCATTTTTACTTCTGTTCAACTTTCATATTTAAAATAATACAACATTTATAATCTCTTTTTTTTGTGCTGTTTCCCAGCTTTGTGTGATCCAGTTTGCCTCAATGGTGGTTCCTGTTACAAGCCAAACACTTGCTTCTGTCCAAACGGGTTCTTTGGTGCACAATGTCAGAATGGTAATTATTCTTTATTTAGAAGTAAAAAAGAGAAATGAGATGCTAGACCACAATAGAACTTTGAGAGAACACAAGACAAGTTTCGAAGTGGAAGGTGCTATTTCCTTTGTTGCATCTTGGTCTTGTTGGCATTGCAGATATGGTCATCAAATGACTAGGTCACAAATATTTTATAGTTATCATGTAAATGGTAAATGGAGATAGTTATTTCACTTTATTAGGCTCATAACATTGGGGTTTTTCTGTGTGGTTTGGTAGAACCAAAGTGAAAAATGTAGGCAAAGTTCTCCTATAATTGTAATGAGATGGAGACATTTTTTGTTTATTTTTACAGCCAAATATGTTAGATTTGTGATCAGTCTATTGTTTTTATCCCATAATTCAATAGTTTCATTAAACATTTATGAAGTCATCTATGCACACACAGCAATACGGAAGTCTATATGGACACATGAAGAGGCAGTGTTTCTCCCCTTTATGGCCCATTAGTTTAGTACCAGTTCCAGTATAATAAATGCTAAGTGACTTTATCAGAATAAGGGCAATTTCTTGAAGGTTATAGTATAGTTATGAGTTTATGCCCATAAAATAAAGTTATAAAGTATTTCTTTATCTTAGCATTATTAGTTATTATACTAAATATAACAGACTTTTAGTATAGATCATGCCAGAACATCTTAATTCCTGAAAGTTATATTTTCCTTACCATAATTCTTTGATTTACAAATATATATTTCTTTTATCTGCAGTAGGCTAGGAGTCTTAGGATGGGACTGAGCA